CCAGCTTGAGCCTCTGGAAGTTCTCGGTCAATGTATGCTTGTAGCCATTTCCGTATTACCTTTAGTAAAACTTTACTCGCATAGGATATCAAAGGTATTGTCCGATGATTTCTGCATTCCATTGGGTTACCTTGCTTTGGAATGGACACAAATATGGATCTCTTCTAATTAGTTGGCCAGATAGTTGTTTTCCAAATTTCTTGGCAGAGATGAGTGAGTGCCTCCTAGCTGCCTCACTTTCTTGAAAGATTTCTATTTTTATTCCATCATTTCCTGGGGACTTATTCTTTGCCAATTGCTTCTATGCACCTTGGACTTCCTTCTTCAGTATCATTGGCTCTTGATCATATACTATGTCTTGAAATGGTTGAATATTAACCATTTCCTCTTGGTACAATGACTCTGTGTATTCCTTCCATTTTCTCTTGATGCTTTCTGCATCATTCAATAATTTGCCCAGAGAATCTTTTAATAATGAAAGTCAAGGCTTGAATTTTTTCTTCAGTTCCCTCAGATTGATAAATGCTGAGTGAGTTCTTCCTTTTTGGTTTTCTGATTCCAGATCTTTGCACATTTTGTTGTAATATTTGGCTTTATCCTCTCTAGCTGATCTTTGAAGTTTTGTGTTCAACTCTTGGACCTCCTCATTTCTTCCATTTGCTTTATCATCTCTATGCTGAAGAGCAAATTTCAGTGTCTCTTTTGACATCCATTTTGATCTTTTCCTTCTTCCTTGTCTTCTCAATGACTTTTTGCTTTCTTCCTGTCTGATGTTCTTGATGTCATTCCACAACTCTTCTGGTCTTCGGTCTTTAGTGTATAATGTATCAAATCTATTCTTCCACTGGTATGTTATTTTGTTGTACTATGGCAGCTTGTGAGTTGCTATGATTCTGAAAGCTATGCCACCAGTATTTTAAATACCAGCAGCGTCACCCATGGTAGACAGGTTTCAGATGAGCTTCCAGATGAAGACAGACTAGGAAGAAGATTGATGAACTACTTCTGAATATTTAGTCACTGAAAACCATATGAATAACAGAGAAACACTGTCAGATATGGTGCCAGAAAAATGAGCCCCTCAGGTTGGAAGGCACTCAAAATGCAACTGCCTCGTCAAAGTAAAGTTGACTGTGATAATGCAAATGGAGTAAAGCTTGTGGGAGAAAAGCCCACGAGACCTTCATTTTCTGATGGGGCACAACTCAAAGTGAAGAGAAACATCTGTAAATATTCATTGAAAATTGGAACATGGAATGTATGAAGTATTAATCTGGTAAAATTGGAAGTTTTCAAAAATGAAATGGAATGCATAAACATCGATATGTTAGGCAATAGTGAGCTGAAATGGACTGGTATTGGCCATTTTGAATCTGATGACCACATGGTTTACTATACCGGAAATGACAAATTGAAGAGGAATGGTGTTGCATTCATTGTAAAAAAAAAGAACATATCCAGATCAGTCATGTGGTACAATGCTGTCTGTGATAGGATAGTATCCATGTGCCTACAGAGAAGCCCAGTTAATACTATTATTCAAATTTATGCACCAACCACTAAAGCCAGTGAGGATGAAATAGAAGAATTCTACCAACTTCTTCATTCTGAAATTGATCAAACATACAATCAAGATGTATTGATCATTATGGGTGATTGGAATGCAAAGGTTGAGAGCAAAGAGGAAGGATCAGTAGTTGGAAAATATGGCCTTGGTGATAGAAATGATGCTGGAGAATGCATGATAGAATTCTGCAAAATCAATGATTTGTTCATTTCAAATACCTTCTTTAGACATTATAAGAGACATCTATACACATGGACTTCACCAGATGGAATTCATAGAAATCAAATTGACCACATCTGGGGAAAGAGATGAAGGATACAGCGAGGATTATTCCCACCCCCTCCATACACAGAGTAGACAGGGATGGACAACTTGGACATTGGCTACCTAAAATGGGGGGGGGGGGACTACAAAGGCAAGAAGTGACTGGCTTACAAGTTTTCAAGAGGGAGCCTAGATCCAGAGGGCTTGGAGTAAGGTAGAATATCCACTAATAGTATCCAATCTGTCTGGGCAGGGCTGATGAAAGGAGATGTGGATAGGTCTCTTGTGATACAATAGTGAATAATTGTTATCAGGACTGGTTGTGAGGGTTGAAAATGTAAAGGTAGACATTTGTAGCAAAAGGAGGGGAGTGATTGACTTTGCAGTCTAGGAGCGGAGGCCTCTGGGACCATCACCTCTGGGAGAAGAGCAGAGTGTCGGACCCTACCCAGAGAAACAGTGACACCAGAGATGGAGGCAGAGACATGACATGGAGAGATGGAGAAGCTGGGAACTCTAGATCCAGAGAGGGAGAGGGGCTGCATGCTGATGATTGAAGGGAAGGCTTGTGGGGTATACCCTTTGGTTGGTTGAGGATGCATGTAGGGGATTATAACCATGGCAATGAAATGATAAACGATAGGATGAATGTAAAGCAAATGTTTTCCCATGTAATCTATCACATAATTCATGAAAAAACATTAAAAAAAAAGAAATGATGGAAAAGCTTCATATCATCAGTCAAAACAAGACCCAGGGCAGACTTGGAACAGACCATCAATTACTCATATGCAAATTCAAACTGAAGCTGAAGAAAATTAAAACAAGTCCAGGAGAATAGGAAATAGCACCCATCAAATAAGAAGTTGAGAATGCAAAAGTGTTGCCTTTTCTTGTTTGGAATGGTTTTGTTAGGTTTTGTTTTCATGTTTAGATGAGAAAGGTAAGTGGCTGTTTGAGATTTGCTATTTGCTTGTGTCTAGATGCTTTGCTTTCTGACACATGTATTCTTATCTGTATTAAAATTATTTTCTCTTCTCTACTCTTTCTGAAGCGGTACTTTAGCACAAGAGGATTTCTTTCTCACATCTCTGAATTAAATTTAGGCAGATTATGTGAAAGTCAGACACCATTATTAGATGAAACACACAAAGAAACAGTATTAGGAAGAATAAAAGAGATAGGTTTTCTGTCCAGCATAACTGTCCAGTGTTTCTTGAATGTTTTTCTCTTTTTTCTTTCCTTACATCCCTGTCCTCACATTTATTTGCCTGATTTATAGAATTGCTGATTTATTTTAATCCCCAAATAAAACTTTTATTCAGATTTAATACTTCCGAAATTAGGTTACATTTTAGAATCAATGTATGTATATTGAATCACTTAATATACATTTAACTTTTACCTAAAGTCTGTTATGAAATTCATAGTGTATTTATAAAATAAATAGCATCTCAGAATCAAAGAAATAAGGTATTATATTTTCTCATCCCTTTTCCTTTGTCTTTCCTGGTGCAATTATTTCCAGAGCCCAAAGAGTTTTATTTCTGGAAAACAAATCTGTTCTTGACACTACCATATCGAATAATTTTGAGTCTCCTCAAATCAAATATGGTCTCAAAGCTGAAACTCCTTGGCATGGCATTCAAGGGTCTTGATATTGAAAGTCTTTTCTATTCTGGCCCAAAGACCTGGACTCTGGCCTTATTCCCCACCACTCCTGGCTTCCTTATGTGGATTGCCTCATTCGAGAAAACATCAGAGGCATGATGCATTATTTTAATACAAGTATTGCAAAATCTCTGAGGAAAGTTTAATAAAATTGGAGTGGTGTTGAGCTGAAAATAGCTAAAACAGGCTTTCCTAAGGCTTAATAATTTAAGATGGCAATGGATCACTGTTTTTGCTGAAAAGGTTTGACTTTTTATATTAGAGTGAATTGCTGAAGAAGCTTATAGAATATCTTTATTTGGAATCCTTTAAACACAGACTAGACACTTTTCTGTTTGGAATGATTTAGAGACACCCATGAGAGATAAACAAGATGAACTCTGAGGTTGTGGCCAGTTCTAGGAGTTTTGGGGGTGATTAATGACTGTATCTAAATGAGGCCAAAACATCCAGATGGGAGTAAAGAGAGAAATTCGGTTATTCATCTATGTATTCTATTTGATTGCAAAGATACGGATATTTATCAGTTGAATACACATATTTATCTGTTGAATGCACATAGTCATTTAATAAACTATACATTTTATTGGTGTTTAACATTTAAAATATTAATATGTAAATAAATTGAGCCCTGCTGTGATGCTGTAGGACAAGCATTGGACCGCAGGTCATTTTGAACTGCAAGGTCAGCGATTCAAAGCTACCAGCGGCTCCTCGGAAACCCTATACAGGGTTGCTATAAGTCGTAAAAAGCTTGATGGTACTTAACATAGTATAAATGGTATGATGATAAAGGATAAGCATTGGATTGCTAACTGCAAGGTCGGCAGTTGAAATATACCAGTCGCTACTCAGATGGAAACCCTCTACAGGGTCACTATAAGTCAGAACTGACATGACAACACCATAGTATAACAGCCTTGAAAGTACGGTGGCTAGTGTTTGACTGCTAACTGAAAGACTGAATAGTTGAACTCACCACTACTCCTTTGAAACCTATGAGTCGAAACTGACTTGACAACACTTAACAGTAACAACCATAGTATAAATGAAGTCATCTTGATGGCACAGGGGTTAAATTACTTGGCTGCTAACTAAAACACTGGGGATTCACATCCACCAGTTGCTTCACAGGAGAAAGGTGAGGCAATCTGGTTTTGGAAAGATTTATAGCCTTGGAAAATTATGGGACAGTTCTACTCTGTACTGTATGGCTGCTTTAAGTTGGAATCAAAACACACAATATAAACACCTATTGTTTTGTCCTTAACTTCTGCCAAATAATATATATTAAATTATCAATTTTTGAGAGATAAAAATATGTTTCAATTGAACATCTTTTGGGCTTGTCTGAGAGTGAAATCATAACAAACAAATAGTGTAAAGTCAATTTTCTTGGTGCTCTTTAGGCTGTTTCTTCATTTAAAAAGAAAATGGAAATTAAGAAATGACTTAGCTACTAGATGCATATTTATATGGGTCTATATTTTAAATTTAGGTATGTGTCTTGTGCCCTGGGCTGCCCCTATGAAGGAAACATCACTCCGCAAAAAGTGACAGAAGTAAGATGCATCTCTGCTCTTTTCTGATTCATGGTAAAGTGATGTATATGTATAAATATGTATATATTTAAGTGGACTAATTTTCTAACATTTATTACATCACCTCAACAAAGATTAAACTATGGGAGAGAACATGTTTGAGAACATGGTGCCTTCATTTTAAAGGGCTCTGAGCCCTGGACCATAATGGTTTTACGCATTGGGCTGCTAACCTCAAGGTCAGCAGTTTGTATCTATCTGCCACAGTTCATGGGAGAAGCCTTGGAAACCCTATACAGGGTTATATTTATAGCCTTGGAAACCCTATACAGGGTCCCTATGAGTCGGAACCAACTCCACAACACACCACCATCATCACAGTATCAAAGTCATGGACTTCTGATGTGTTGCTGTAGGATTAGCACTGGAGTGAGAACCACAAGGTCAGTCATTCAAACCCACCATCTGCTCTTTGGAAACCTTACACAGAATCACTATAAAGTCAAAACTCACTCAATGGCACTTAACAACAGCAACAAATATTGACTATTACTGCCCTAAGTTAAATAAAAATTGAGTGTGATCTTCTGAGTGCTCAAAGGTGAAGAAAATGAAGACATCAGCATTTATTTTGCTTTTTAAAAACTTTTTTATCTTTTAATGTAGAAAGAATCTAGTCTTTCTACTCCTGACCAGATTGTTGTAGCAGTTTGTGTACACACACTTAAATTTTACTTTGGTTGCTTAGGGAGCATAGCTTTTGTTTTAGGTAGCATACCTTTGTTTTTCTCGTGCATACTTCCACACCTATCCTAGAATATACTGTGTACCAGTGTTTTTGCTCCTTTGCGATCATATGGATGGTACTGCTATTTCAAGGTCCTGTTTTTCCAGAGAAATATTATAGCAATAGATTGTAGTGACTAAGATCTTGCTTATGGAAATTGTATTTTCTATTTCCTGTTCTTGTTTATTAATTGATACTAATGAACACAAATTACTCTTGTCATTGAGATCATATTAGAATGTCTCAGAAACTCATTTGTATGTGAAGTGTGTTAATATGTACTTCTTATTGAGAAGGTTGTCAGTGTTAATGAATATAGTAATATGGTACTGATGGTAATAAAGCAATGAAGCATCATTAGAAAATCTAAGTTTAGGCAGCTGGGCTTTCAATTTTCCTGAAGTTATTTATTTTATGAAATATATTGCAGAATTTTAAAATGAGAAATCTCCCAGGACGTATTATTTAAGACTCTTACCCATAGAAGCAGATATACTATGAAATAATAAAGCTTAAATTTCATAATTCTACCCTTGCATGCGAGTCCTGGTGTGGCACTGCAGGATAATGCATTGAACCACATAGTCTGTTTGAAACACAAGTTCAGTAGTTCAAACCCACCAGCCACTCTTCAGAAACCCGATACGTGGTGGCTATGAGTCAAAACTAACTCAACACCACTGAACAACAACAACACCCCTTGCATGAGGAGTTCTGGTGTGGCACTCTAGGATAAGCACTGGCCCACAAGGTCCATTTGAACTGCAAGTTTGGCAATTAAGACTCACCAACCTCTCCTCAGCTATGAGACAGACTGACTCAATGGTACTTAATAACAGCAGCAACAACCACCCTTGCATGAAGGAGCCCTGGTAACATAGTGGATTACAAGCTAGGCTACTAACTGCAAGGTCATCAGTATAGGATTTCCAAGGAACAATTTGTAAATTTGAACTGCTGAACTTGTATTTGATCAAAATTAAGAGATCTAGAATGTGGTGGATTATCAATTTGTTAAATCCTAGTGACTACGGATTCGTTAAATCCTAATGACTAAGGAGTCCTGGTGTGGTGCTGTAGGATAAGCAGTGTACTACCAGTCACTCTGCAGGTGAAAGATGAGGCTTTCTGCTCCCATAAGGGTTTACAGACAACCAGTGTAGACTTGCTATGAGTTGGAACCTACTCAAGAGCATGCAATCACCACCACCTCCATCTTTGCATGGGACCCTTCTAAGAGTCTGTCATTCATTTTTATTCACAGTTGCCTATTCTTTTCTTTAAAATCACTTCCAAAATTGTGTTATTTCAGATTGCACCAAACCAAGATCCTCCTCTTACTATACAACAAACCACTTGCCTTTCTTGTGCCTCATGCCATCCTTAGGATGAACCACACACCCCTTCAGGCTCTGTTTCTCCATGAGGATGCCTGAGGTGCTACTGAAGAGAGTCATATGACAGGCAGATTGTAAGCATTATAAATTCATGATCATTATGCACCTTCTGTGCTCTACGATTACGTTGTGTAGTCAATTCATATTCCTACTCACTGAAATTGCTATTTTAAACTTTTGTTGTTGTTGTTGTTGTGTGCCATGGAGTCAGTTCCGACTCATAGCGACCCTGTACAGGGTTTCCGAGGCTGTAAATCTTTAGGGGAGCAGAACGCCTCATCTTTCTCCCACGGAACAGCTGGTAGTTTCGAACTGCTGACCTTGTGGCTCGCAGCCCGATTCGTAACCACTACGCTACCAGAGCTCCTTATTCTATTCAAATCTCTATTCTTTCCTTTCATTTTCTCTCCTGTATGTACATCTGTGATTCTCAACAGAATCTGCTGTTTTGACTCTTAAATGTATTCACATCTTTTCCATATGAAAAATGTATTCCTGAATTCATCGTTCAGTTGCTAATCTATCTCTATCTTTCTACACATAAGCTTCCTAAAAGAGCTATCTACAGTAGGTTTCCATTTTCTCATGCTTCACTAGCTCTTCCTCACACTCCAAGATGACTTCTAGGTCATTCACTCCACTGAAATCCATCATCATAAGATCCCTACTTACCACTTATGTTAACAAATGCAAATCATGTCTAGACCTCATCTTATTTGCACCCTCAGCAGAATTTGGGGTTGATGACCATATTCTCCTTTCTGATTTATTTGTATCCATCATTTATGTCTTTTTGACACCAAATTTAGGGTTTTCTTTCTGACTGTTAAATTTCTGCTTCTCAATCATCTTCGAATATTCAGTCTCTTCTCTGTGGCCATGAAACAATTCCTAAAGGTTGGTGGTTCATACCTATCAGCTGCTCCTTGGAAACCATATAAAGGATTGTTCTGAGTTGGAACGGACTCAATGGCAGTTACCAACAACAGCAGTAGCATTTAATATGCAGTACAGAATGAATATTTATACTTTTTTTATCCTTGTTTCCATCAAATTCTGGTATTAGTGGTTATGAATCAGGCTGAAAAACGCAAGGTCAGCAGTTCGAAACTACCAGCTGTTCCACAGGAGAAAGATGAGGCTTTCTGCTCCCACGAAGAGTTACAGCCTCGGAAACTCTGTAAAAGGTCACTATAAGTCTGAATTGATTCCACGGCACATAACCACCAACCTTGAATATATGATCCTTTCTGAGTATCCTGCACACCGTTTTTTATATTAGATAGAGGAGACTTTCTAAAACATAAATTTGATTATATTATCACCACCTCATATCCTACCAGGATTTCCCATTACTCTTTTGATAAAGTCCTAACCAAAACGCTAAACTTTTTAAAACTGCATGGTCTGCCTTATGCCTACCTACCTCTCCATTCTCATCTGACTTTTCGCTTCCATGTTTACTTCTGTATTTGTTTGTTTGTTTTGTTTTCCAATCACAATGTCCTTTTCATCTGATATCTTTTTTACATCTTGAACATTCTTTGCATTTTATATTTCAACTGCCCCGAAACACACTACTTTTTTGTTTTGATATTCCACCTGGAACAGTCTTCTCAAACCTTTCTTTTAACACACTTCAAAAATTCAACACCTACTTTACTATAAGATGCCACTTAGGTCTTTCCTACTTGATATTGCGAGCTTTCCTTTGTTATTTGCTCATACACTCATAGCATTTTTTTTTTTAAGTTTTTATTGTGAATTGAATGAAAATTTAAGGGCAGATCATTGGTTTTACATTCAACAAATCATATACTTTGTTTCATTACAATGATTTTAACCCCTTCCATGTACCATCAGTTAACAGCATTTCTCTCTCTTCATTTATAAAATGATTTTTATGTATTCCTATTTCACCCCACAACTAACACATGCCATTATTAGCATTATTTTCCTAGGTTTTTTTAGATGAAGTAATTGTTGTTGTTGTTGTTATGTGCCGTGGAGTCGGTTCCGACTCATAGTGACCATTAAAATTTTAGTTAGTAATTTTATCATTGAACATACATAGAGATACAAATGGCCCTCAAATAAACTTGAAAATTGTTAAAAGATAACCCTAGCAATGTCATTAGACATTTTTATAATTCTTAGAATTCAATGTAAAAGGGGAAAAAAGCAAATTTTTCATATGTGGAAGTTTTATGTAACTGAATTCAGTTGTCAGTTTTATTTCTGGATGCTGTTTGTTGAGGAATGACAGGACTTGAGTCTGTTCATTTCCATTGTTTTACTAGCACCCCACCTTTCTTAACAGGTGTCTAAGAGGCTATATGGCATGGGCTGTTACGAGATCTCTCTGGGAGACACGATTGGAGTGGGAACTCCAGGAAGCATGAAAAGAATGTTGGAAAGTGTCATGAAAGAAATCCCACCAGGTGCAATTGCTGTTCACTGTCATGACACATATGGACAAGCCTTAGCAAATATCCTTACAGCCCTTCAGGTATTTTCTAGTCTTTGTGTGCGTGTATGTATGTCCTTATTTTTAGTATAACATTTAATAAGATCGTATTTTTTAGATGCTCTAAGTATGATGCGTAGACAGGACCTGTCATATACCATATGGCAGCCACTCAGGAAACATTTGTAACATGTGCATGTTTGTTCAGGCAACAAGGTCTCATTCCTGTTTATTTCATAGGAAAAATCTGTCAGTTTGTGTTTTTTTTAAGTATTATTAGTACCATCAAAACTATGTGTACTAGTTTCAACTTCTGTATGCCACAAAACTTTATAGGCTGAACTAAAATAACATTTTGAGGAGCATAAGCACAAATGTAGTGTAAGATTTTGTTGTAATCACATAAATAGTACTACTTTTGGTAATTTGGTACTCTGTGATGTGAAGATGTAGTGATGAAATATAGACTCATTTGGCCAAGATGTTTTCCTGATGTTGGTGAGTTTACATAACCTCTGCTTCTTATCAAATATATATTCCATTGTTGTTGTTAAGTGCATTCAAGTCAGTTCTAACTTATAGCAGCCCTATATGCCCTATATGGAGTTCTTGAGTAGTGGCTGGTAGATTTGAACCGCTGATTTTGTGATTAGCAATCCGGGCTTATCCTATATCACCATACCAGAACTCCATGTATTCCATTGTTGTTGTTGTTAGATGCCGTGGTTCTAATTAACAGCAACCCTGTATAGGATTTCCAAAGAACAACTTGTAAATTTGAACTGTTGACCTTGTATTTGATCAAAATTAAGAGCTCTAGTATTTGGTGGATTAACAGTTTGTTAACTCCTAGTAACTACTGATTCATTAAATCCTAATGACTAAGGAGTCCTGGTGTGGTGCTGTAGGATAAGCACTGTACTGCTAGCCACAAGTCGGCAGTTCAAACCCATCAGCCAGTCCTTTAAACCCTATACAGGATCGCTATGAGTTGGAACCAACTTGACAACACTTAACAGCAACAATATAGGATTTTCAAGGAACAGTTGGTGAGTTTGAACTTCCAGTCTTGAGATCAGCAGTCCAATGCTTATCCTAAGTACCACACCAGGAATCCTTTATTAATGCTGTACATTGTTATTATATAACAATTACTAATTAATTTGCTTTTCTGTGATAAAGAACTATAATATAAACTCTGGGAACTCAAACTTCTGCTTCAGGGCTCTGTCTACTTCTTGAAAATGCCCATGTGCAAAACATTATCAGTGTTCGAATGTGAATTTAATGGCTAAGGAAGGCCTATCTGAGGAGGCAATACTTAAAGATCAGATCTAAAGAACAAAAAGCAACTAATCCCACCAGGTGTCGGCAAGAGGAGTGTGGGAAACATTTCAAGCAGAGGAAACAGAACTTGGACCTAAGGTTTTCTAGGGAAGGAAAGATCATGCCATAGGACCAGAAAGATGACTAATGTATTGCATGTTAGGAGAAGAATGGATATTCTACTCTTCAGAAGCTTCTATGGCAGGCAGTAGGGAATCTGTCTATAAGCTTCGGTAACTGTGTTTTCTGTGTGCACACGCTCTGTATGTATATGGGAGGTAATGTAACAGAGAAAAGTGAGTCTGAGATTGCAATAATAGACTTCCAGCTTTGTGCTAATTCTCCAGAGTCAAATTTATAGCCACAGTGTGAATAGGTGGTTAAGATGACAGCACTGCCTTATATATGAATAAAATGGTATGAAGCTAGAGAGACTAATATAAATAAACTATTACATAAGTGGTCAAAAGCATGGATGTGCTAAGGATGTTAAAAAGGTTGAGTTGTAGAGCTTTTTGTCTGCTCTGCCATCCACTGTTGTGAACTTCATAGCGACTGTAAGCAATTGTCACCATAAGAAAGAAATATATTCGGCTGCTTTCTTAAAACAGTGCACCTCCTGAGAATCTTTAAATGTTATAGCACAATTATGTTTATAAAGACAGCTGGATGTGGTAGGTGGAATGTCTTTACAAGAGCACATTAGTGAGAGGTAAGAGCAATAGTCTGAGTACGATGGAGCATACCAATGTCCTCTTTTCATCCTCCCCACCTCCTCCCAGCAACAACAATCATCAGGCTTAACTCTAAAGGAGAAAAAGTATCTTGGGGGAAAAAAGCCTATGTTTAAATAGAAAGAAAATCAGAGACTACACAGCTTCATTATGAACACGTTTAACCTTGGCTTCAGGAAGCAGTGATCATACTTCATTATTTAAAATGGAACCTTTGAAGTGCTTTCTAATAAAATTAATGTTGAATGTGAAGTACATACAGTTTGCTTTAATTTTAGGGTGGGAAAACAGTTTGCAGTGCTCCAAACTGGAAGTTAATATTAAGGCAAGGAGACATGTAATAAGTGGAAACTTGGCCATAAAGGTAGGAAACAAATGAGAGTTATAAATGGAACTTCCCCCCTCAGTCTGGAAAGCACATACTAATCATATAATAGGAAGACTTTTCTGGGGCGCCCAGTTTTATTGTATTTTTTATTACTTAAACATATGTCTTATAGGACTAGAGATGGTTGCATGGGAGGCAAAAAATTCATAGTTATCAGTTATTATTGGCTATAGAGAGACTATTCTTAACATATAGATTTAAGTATAGAATATTTAGAAACACTCAAAATTGAAAGAGCAAGAAAATGAGGAGACAAAGTGAACAAAATTTTAATACAGTAACTTTCTTGTCTTAAAATTTTTATGTGAAAATTGAGTTTCATTCTCCTGTATATTCTCAAGTACCTAAGTAAAACAAAACACCAACTAACAAATTGTTTAATGTACTATGTTGTTGTTATTGTTAAATGCTATCGAATTAGTTCCAACTCACAGCAACCCTGTATAGAATTTCCAAGGAACACCTGGTGAGTTTGAACAACCAACCATGTGGTTCACAGTCTAGAATTGGTCCTACAGCACCACACTAATTTTGATACCCCAAAATGCTTGTCTCTATTTTTTATCACTGAAATCATGATTTTTTATAATATTTCTCAAAGTTACATTTTCAAAAAACTTTTTATTGTGAATTGAGTTCAGGTTTGTAGACAAGATCACCTTGTTTCATCTCAGTAATTACAATCCCCTCCCTGTAACAACAGCCATCCTATTTTCTCTCTGTAGCTCTTCATTTACATCTTTTATTTTACAAATGGACAGAGCAAAAATATTAGCTGTACATATACAAAACAAAAAATATATATGCATTTAAATGTCCAAAAGGCCCATTTTGCAAGCCAGCCTCCTGCCCGCAGGCACACAGTCTTACTCAGTCCATGGACCTAAAGCCTGAAATTGCTCTATGTCTCCATGCCACTGCCTCTGCCCCCGTATCTGCTGTTGCCATTTTTTCTAAGTAGATATCTCATGCTCCACTCATGCTCTTGCTTCCTAATGGATTGCTTATTCCTAAAAAGAAAGATGAACTACTCTCCAAGTTACACATCTTCTACAATTACAGGTGTGAAAATCACAATTAATTCTGCTAACAATAAGAATTTATAATAGGTTAAAAATAGAATAAACAGCTCTTCTTCTCTTCTTCTTTCTCTCTTCTCTTCTTCTTTTTCTCCCCTTCTTTCTGCCTTCTGTTTTCTCTCTCTGGCAGAGGTCACCTTCCTCTTCCTAACCCTGAATAAAAGTCTCTAGACGGACAAAAAAAAACCAAAAAACATAATAAACAAATGAGATCTTGTGTCACAAATGACAGTCACATGTTAATTGTATCATAGAGACAAGAAAGAACAGGTAATATTTAGCCTTGTTCTGAAGACATATTACATACCTTTTATCCCCTTTTAAACTTAGTACATTTTTGATAATATGACTTTGCTCGTAATGTTTTCCATATGTTTATTATTCCCTTTTAAAGCCAAATTATTTACCTAATTTTAATATTAAAAGCACTCATTTTTTTCACATGGACTCTAAACCATGTTTGACAGTCAAAACTAAAACAGCTCATCTTTCTACATGCATTCTGTCCTGAAGCTCTCAAAGTGAATTTTTAAAATTGTTATCCACAGTCAGATGAGCCTGTTTCTCAGTTCCTTATCTGGAAATGGATGTAATGAAGCCTACCTCCCCAGATTTTGCAAAACTGAAATGATTGAGATGCCAAGCTTCTAGAACAAAACTTTTGTAACAATGCAGTTGATTAATACTATTATTGTAATCATTACAATTATTAATGATAATAACAACAATAACTTTTATTATTCAGAGTATTTGTGAATAGAACTATGATATATAAATAATTGCATCACTAACTTGTTTTTTAAATGCTTCAATAACTATTATTCATTTCTTCAGCATCTGTTAATCAGTGAAACATATTTATATGTATAGGAAAGAAACAAAAGACGATTAAATAGGCAAAAAAGCTGAAATTGGATGCCTTCAGTGTGGCGTTGTAGTTGATAAACACTAAACTGCAATATTGGTTTGAACCGCAAATCTATCCTTGAAAACCCTGTAGAAGGTTGTTAAGTGTTGGAACTGACTTTATGGCACTTAACAACAACAGCAAAGATATTTTTACAAAATGCATCATTCATGTATTCAACAGATATTTTTCAGACACTGTTGTAAATGTTGGATCAATCAATATGTGAAAGGTTTTGAATAGTTCTATAGTCATGAAAGCTGTTTGGCTTAGTTTAAATTGTTGTTGTTGTTGTTAAGTGCCATCGAATTTTTAGTTTAAATTAGTATTTACAAAAGATTTTTTATTATGAAGTAGTTTTCCTTACAGCACGATTATTAACTTACTTCAGACATCCTTGTGCTGGACAATATTCTCATGGAACAATGAGATGATGCACTAAAGCATTTTTTAAAATCAGAAAAGAAATGTGGCATGATTCAGTTTTTGAGAGCTTATAATCAGAGCTGTTGAGCAACAGTAGTCAGTGAGAAAGAGGTAAAAAATGTACGATTATATAGTTTTCAAGTGATTATGTTTTATATATCATTGAAGAGAGAATGGGTACC